GAGTGTGTGCTTTCTGGACACCATGGGATTGGATCCCGGCTGCGGCGGCTGCATTTCCGATGGAGGAGGAAATGTCGTAGGCCCGTGTACTCAGATTTGGGTGCGCGTTAAAGAACCCCAGGTGGTCGAAATTTCCGGAGCCCTCCACTACGGCGTCTCTCATAATCAAATGGTGGTTTTTAGGACGTTAAACCCCACATATCAATCATCAATCAACACAATGGGATTCGAACTCCGATTCGCTGTGTGCAGCCCAGTATTCTGCCATTGAGGCACGCCAGTGCTTGGAACTAGGTTTAAACTGGCCTCAAGCATGTAGGTTGGAAGTCGGGAAAATAATTGCGTTAATATGAGTAATAAAGCGTATTAGAACATCAAAGAAACAGCCAGACGTCACACATTGCGATTGCGTAACGAGGGGGGTCGTCAAATGCTACAACCTACCAGGAAACTTCTTCTTGGTCATCTATTAGCTGATTATAATGATGATTCTCGGAAAAATGGCACAACTCACCGTGAGGGATCGGCCATGAAGCGGGTGGCAGTAGAGTTTTCGAAACAAAATAAAGAAATAATAAAGAAAGAAAAAAGAAGAGAAAAATAAGGTGAAAAATTAATCTGCTAACTGTGGCACATACCCGCTTCACGCATAGTCCTTAATCTTCGTCAGCCACTGCATAAAAAAAAATGCACAAAACTTCTAACGAGTGTGCAGCGGATGTCACGCCTCTCCAAAGAAGGAAGAGGATAGCGTACTGAATGCTGGTCTACTACACAAAATTATCATTATTTATGGCGTAGCGGGTATTCAGCAGTGCGTTTGTAGCAGTTACCCAAAGAGCGTTTATAAAAGGCTCTGAAAGGCCGCTTTTCTAGCTTTCGCTGTAGCTGTGCTCCGCGTTCCTCGCAGGCCTGGTGTATTTTTTTTCTTAACGCCCACGCGTTAAAACTGCCTACGCGTGTTCTCGTCGTACCTGGGTAGGCACTAAGTGCCAATAACTTGTGGCACGTACCCGCCTGCGGCTATGTACCTCTGGCGAGAAGTGTTTGATGACGTACATGACGAGATTGCAACATTATTCATGTATTCACTAGCGCGTCGTACGTCATACAATTTTACCTTCTCGTACAGAGTTAGGTACACACGAATTTAAGGGGGTGATCACGAGAGCACTTCAACGTAAGCGCCTAGATTCATACATACAAAGATAGACGCCAAAAGTGCTTGCCGCACGCAAAGAAATGGTTCGCATACAATATCTTGCAGCTCTATTCAAAACAATGCTTGTGGGATTGGATATATTACGTCCCAGTTTTTCCTGTGATTGAATTTCGAATGAGTTACAACTTACTCGTTCCATACAATATGCAATACAAATGCAATTCAAAGGCGGTGTCTTCCGTGTTAAAGCCCGGTATACAGAGAAGAGCTAGGGGAACCCCCGCCTCGTTGTAATTCCCCGCTGTAATCTTGAGGGCTTCGAGGTCATCGCTTTGTCTGAAGGGCGTATATGAAGCGGCCTTGTAACATCAGTCCACGTGAGGATTCAGTCATCCTGCCCCCTCACTTAGCCAAGGAATCAGGCAATAATTGCCCATCGCTCTACGCTTCGAAGAGTGCGTTATTTCCTTATGCAGACTTTTCGCAAATATTGTGAGATGCAATGCATCATATTGATGATCTCTTGGCTTGGCTGAAGCGTACGAAGTAGTTATATAACACACCACCCACACCCCACGCACCCGCCCACCCACCCACCCACCCAACACACACACACACACCCACACCACACACACACCTATATATATCTATATATATATATATATATATATCTATATGCTATAATATCTACTATTATATATTATATGCTAATATTATATATATTACATTTCTTGCTCACGGCCTGGTTATTTTTCACTGCTCACTTTCTTTTCTCTTATTTACCTTTCCATTGGTTCTATAACTTCACCTGTACATGTCCTTGGCATTACTGTCTGTTAGATCTCATTAAATTATCTGTGTCAAAACACGGAAACGAGCCTTTAGGTATACACTTCTTTCCCTTTATATATTATATATAGATATATATATATATATATATAATATCTATATATATATAATATCTATATATTATAATGTAAATGCCAGGTAGATTACCACTTCCCTCAGAGGAAAGTATAAAACAGCTGTATCTTGCCGGTACTTACTTAGCTACGGAGCAGAAATCTGGACACTTACAAAGTGGGTTCAGCTTAAATTGAGGACGACGCATCGAGCAATGAAAAGAAAAATAGTAGGTGTAACCTTGAAAACAAGAAGAGAGCAGAGTGGATTAGGGAACAAACGGGGGTTAAGGATATCATAGTTGAAATCAACAAATGGAAATGGATATGGTCTGGGCATGTAGCGCGTAGACAAGATAACCGCTGGCCATTAAGGGTAATTAACTGGGTACCCAGAGAAGGCAAGCGGGTTAGGGGGAAAAAGAAGGTTAGGTGGGCAGATGAGATTAATAAGTTTGCGGGCATAAATTGCCAGCAGCAAGCACAGGACCGAGTGAACTGGCCGACTATGGGAGAGGCCTTTGTCATTGTCCTCCAGTGGACGTAGTCAGGCTCAATATATATATATATATATTATATATATATAGATATATTATATAGCTATATATATATATATATAGATATAGATATATATATATATATATATATATATATTATATATATATATTATATATATATATATATATATATATGAGGATAAGAGGGAGAAGGGTATGTTTAAGGGCTCATTTTTCCGTGTTTTGATATTGGACACAATATAATGAGATCTAACAGACAATAATGCCAAAGAGTGTATAGGGAAAGTTATTAGACCAATTGTAATGTAAATGTGAACAAAGAAAAGTATGTGAAAAGATAACTTGCCGTGAGCAGGAAGCGAACCTGCGACCTTCAATTAACGCGTTCGATGCTATATACGACTGAGCTACCACGGTGGCTATACCCGCCGCCACTTTATTGGGTTTATATGTGAATTTAAACGTGGGAGTGTCAGTCAGCGCCACCTGTAGCCATGGAGGCGAGTGTGGCACACTCTTTATGAGCCTGTTTGGCGTCACGTAGCCCGTGAACTTATTACGAGCTGGCAGCTGACCAATAGTCCCTTGTATACAACCTAACGGCACCAAGTCTGCCAGTACGAGACCCTCGTTGACGAATAAGGGAAAGAAGTGTATACTTATGGGCTCGTTTTTGCGTGTTTTGACACAATAATAATGAGAGACAATAATGCCAAGGAATGTATAGGGGAAGTCATATGTATATACTGTAAACGGCACTAAAGAGTTCGTATGTGTTCTTAAAAGACAACACAAAAATTCAGTCCATCGTGTGGTCTACGGTGTTTTTCAGAAGAAAGAGCAAGGAGAAATGTCGAGGAAAAGGATGGAATGTTAACTCGTCCAGTTTTCTAAGTTACACTTGAGAATGGGAACAGACATCACAATTCACGTGCATAGTTCGCTATCGTAGAAGGGCTCCCGTCGCTTTTAGAAGGGTTTTCTGCATTTAGTGAGCTGCAAACCACTCACATGTGATCTGAAATAACGAAACAACCACACAACTCGTTGACTTTAGAGATGACAACGATGGCACAGACAAGCGACTGCATACTCATTATGCTGCAGGTTCTATAAGAAGTAAATTTTTTCACATGCATGATGAGAGTATTGTCAGTGCTGATTCACAGTGGTGTTAGTAGACTTATTGTAGAAATTGTAGCAAAATAATCAACTTCGCCCATGAGACGCAGCAGTTGCCAGTTCTAGGAAAACTTTTCGAAGCAAGGATGAATTTAATGTAAAAAAATATTACAACATATCCGCGGACTGAATGATGGTGAGTGGGGGAAGCGTCTGTCCGTCCGTTCGTGCATCCATCCGTCTGTCCAACCGTGGGTCAATCTGTCCATCAGGGCGTCTGCCCGCCTGTGTGTCTGTATGTCCGTCCGTCTAGTGAACACTTCAAGTACCATTACCTCGCATCTTTTTATTATGTATTAATTATACACAAGTACCACCATCTAGCGGACATTTTAAGAACTAAACGAGAGGTAGGTATACCTACTACATACATCAAGGACGCACGATCCACGGCTTGAGGAGCTTCGCCCCTAAAAGTCTATCCCCTGTGGCACATACCTGCTCTCTCGGGTATGTGCTACCGGTGGTTACAAACGGGTATGTGCCACCAGTGGTTACAAACAATAACAGGATGAATGGGTGACGCCATAAATAGCTTCGCCTCTAAAAAAGACGTCGCAGTGTCAAACGGTGAGCTATGAATATGCATTGTTACATGTATGCTTTTGTCAGTGGCTACGATGATTGCGCATCTCCTGCTCTGAAACGTTTATTTGAAGATGTATTGCTTTCAACTATCCGCTGCACAAAACATACCCGTCGTGTAGCTTTTGTATGCCGCAGGTATTAATAGGGAAGATGAAAGGTGCATTCACCGGCTGGGGTTTGAGGTTGGCTATACAATCTACTTTACGTACAATGCTAAACATTGGTCTACACATCACGTAACACTTGGGATGACTTAAAACGTGTTCTGTGTGATTGTTACTGCTATGACGCTGAATAATAGGTTATGAGTGTGCCCCAATATATTCAACTAGACTTGAACTTGGAACTGAGGCGTTTCCTCGATCCGAGGAAAAGCAGCGCCTATAAGACGCTCAATATAAAGTTGGTGGCTTTGAGGAATAGACACCTAAATGAAACTTTTTGTAGAAGTTCGTGTGTATGTGTGTGTACTTGACCCAACGTGTTATTTGTGTGCATGGGATTATTGTGTATACCGTAGTCAATCATCAAAAGCGATTAGCCATGCTCTCATCTCCAGGGTAATGATAGGAAATTATATCTATCCGATGAACACTTACTGAAGGCTGCGAGTTCTCGGCGCAAGACAGATACTTTGCACCTTCGCAGGCACACTTTTCTTGTGGCTGTATTGGCCGAGCTTCAACGCTGCCACGGTCCGAGGCGCCGAGAGGCACCGAGCCGTGATCAACACTTACCTCGCCCTGACGTCATCGTGCCTGACTGCGTTCGCCGCATCGTCGTGTCTCGATGTTCGAGGAAGACTCGACATGGTCGGTGACGCAAGTTACACTTGAAACTCTTCAAATGTGCGGTGTGCATTGTGAGCGCATCGAATCAAACTGGCGTTGCGCCCCACCCCATTCGTGCGCCGGGTCACTCGCTAACGTTCTGTATCATAGCGCGTCAGGACAACGCTTTTGTGCCTAAGAAGAAGCCTTTTCTAGAGAGATTCTATTTGAAAACATAAACATGGAGCACGTTATTTTTCCTCGTCAGCCACTGAACAAATTTTGATAAGGCTTGTTGACATCGGAAATTGTAAGGTTACAGAAAAATGTTCCAATAGTCCTTCAAAGTACGTTGAGATGACACGAGGGCAAACTCTTGTAACAAATTATGAACGTAGTACGGGCCCAACATCATGGAGGAACATTGATGAAGTGGCGAAAATGTATTGCTCGAAGAACCTTACTTTAAATGAATCATCTATCATATATCCAGAATAGTACCGTTTGGCTTGAGACACTATGCGGAGTAATCGAAAAGCCAGTATGAAATTTTGTCATACTTTCCTTCTGGGAGCCGTGAATGACAAACGATAAGACTTCTCTCAACATTGCCAATCCGTAGTAACAGGTAGCATACATTCCATTGCTTTAGTTTCATAAACACCGTAAATATTGTCTTGGTGTTCACACCTAGGTGAATTTAAACTTCCTTGAGTGATTTAAGCGAACATGACAACGTAACGTCTGCCCGTGACGCACGTCTTGAGGTATATTTAGTTATTTTCAAGTTTGGCATAAGCGATGCGTTGTTTGAATTGCAGGTTCACATTCAGAACTCAACACTTGCGGGTGGTGTTGCCATCGGCAGCATTGCGAGCATTTTGGCTGAGCCTCACAGCGCCATCATAGTGGGAAGTGTGGCCGGGATAATCTCAGTGTTGGGATACAAGTTCGTTACGGTGGGTGAGCTCATCTCTCTAGCACATTGTGCACTATTGCCACTGTGAACGTGGATGACGAGAATTTCAACGTTGTAGACCATTTCGCACACCCTTGACGTTAGCTTTCTCACCACAAGTGTAGCGTTTTACGTATTGGACTTTTCCGCATGACGCACCTGCAATGGGGGCGTGTTGTTGCGGTCTGGTTTACAAAAACTGCGTAACAACATTGCGAAATCGCTCATATATGTTAGCACCACATAACGACATGGGTAGTTCGGCCTCCGTAGAGTGACCTTAGGTGGTAGACCTTTGGGTAGCCAGGCAGCGTGTTTTCCCGCAATTTTGCATGTCTAGCAACCACAGCTACGCGGTGAAGCCACACTCTGTTTTCCCAGGCGACATGTCTGGCGTGTCGTCGAGTCTCCAGGAGATGAACTTGACTGTAGATGCCTAGTGCCAATCAAGTTCGCTGCTGCCGAAGCGCTAGGAAATACAAAAGTTTTTCCGACCACCAGCTTCTCCGCCATTAATAGTTACTATTGTCATTTGGGAACGACACTTGCAAGTCTGCTACCTCAGCGTAGCACGTACGACACTCTAAACAACGAAGGGAAGTTACTTCAGAGTGGTCCTCACCGGACGGCATTGGTAATTCCTGGGAGAGAGAAAGGCTCTTCTTCCTTTTCGTTCGTAGGACGTTGGTGCACTCAGATAGACCATGCTCTCACTGGGGTTTGTCTAAAGGTTACCTGATGTAAGGTATATTGACGAACAAAATCAAGACTTACACTCTGAACAGCATACTTTAATTATTTAGACCACATCGTCTGAAATCCGCGATGTACACTGACATAAAGTTCATTCTCACGCGAAGAAATTGGCATCTGAAAGGCGACGTCTCAGATTTTTTATGGGATGTAAACATGCACTGCGAACGGTTCTATCATACTAGTTAAGGACAATTTCAGCCAACGTGATCAGCTTTTTGTAAGGAACAAGGAAATATCAGGCCTCAGAATACGTTTTTGCTTCACTGGACAGGATGAACTATTGGTTCAAGGTTATCTAACTGACATGTCAGGTTGATATTTGTAAACCACGAATCGATAACAGCCAGCAAATCACGTAGAGTGTCATCACACGCCGCTTCTCATTGGGGTGGAACCGGTATTGTTAGGAAATACCAACGTAGCACAGCAGAATTTCCCCAGTGGGCTTCCCCGCAGATATACATCGACCTAAATGAGGACTTTTTCCACCTCGCTTTCTCAGCACTGTGAAATAAAAACACAAGAATTGCTTAACGTAAGGTCTGCACGCTTGGGACGTAGAGATAAGCAACTCTCAGATTTACATAAAAACCGAATGAGTTTTGCAGGTTTTTTAGTGTATTATCAAAAGACATGTCACGCGTTGCATGATGCACACAAGTGCGAGAGGATGTCTCTGAGTCGCTGTAGATTGAGAAAGACATCTCTTCAGAAAGCTGATTTTGAAAAAAAAAACATCATCATAGTGATCGTCATTATCCTTTTTTATGTATTCTGCAGGCCAAAAGCCTTAACAAATGATATTCAACCCATCCTGTCCTTCTCGACTTGACTCCGTTTTATTCATAGCTCGGCATACTCACTCTGGAGTACACTCACTCGCGCTCAATTCAAAGACGTGAGCGTGATTACAAGTGAGTGATGAGGTGTGTGAGTAGGAGTGAGTATAACGCTAGTGAATACTCGCGATTATCAGTATGGTGCGATTCGATGCCCTCGAAATTGAAGAAAAAAAATTCGTCACTTCACCAGACCCATTGACACCCGCGGCCGCGTTTTTAACTGGTAGGTTCATTCCAATGTCCTTACTGTAGATCTCTTATAATTTATGTCGTTGTCTGGACGTGACCTGTCCACTTCCATTTTTTATTTTAATATATATCTGCTGAGATAACGGCTATACATGTTCGTTCTTTGATCCATTACGTTCTCTTCATATCTCGTAAGGCGACCCTTATTGTTTTCTGTTCTGTTGCGCGCTAGGTGTTTCTTAGCTTCTTTCAGTGTTTCTTGGTTATTCTCCAGGTTTTCTCCCCATATATCAGAACTCGCGAAATATAATACAATTGTATTATTCTTCTCTTTTTTTTCATAGAATCTACCACCAACGTGCAACACTTTTATTTTGAGTACCTCGCTTTGTGTGTGTGTTATTTGCTGATGCACGTCCTACTACACATTGTCCGTTGTGGTTGTCCTAAAGTGTCAGTCACTTAGTCAAGGTACTCACAGTAGCGTTTTCTGACTGCTCATCTACTCAATTGTTAAATGAAAGGTAAAAACTCTCCTTACGCATTCGCCCAACACGACTGGAAGGTGACAGTTATCTTCTTTTTTTACCCTTTTAAATCTACGTTCTCATGCTCCTCAACCTCCGGGTTCACAAACTTTCAGCATCTAACGTGGTTATGCACTGCCTCCATGATCGGAGAAATCGAAAGCTTTCTTCCGATACCTCCGGTTTCCGGAGACCTCGACTACGGCGTCTCTCACGATCATGTCGTGGTTTTGGAACGTCAAGCCCCGGCAGTTACTGTTTGCATCTTCGCAGCCTTTTCTGGCTCGCCGCTGGAGTGTGCACGACACGTGCGGCGTGCACAACTTGCACGGCATGCCGGGAGTTCTCGCCGGCATCAGCAGCATCATACTGGCGGCCACAACGTCCCACGAGTCTCACGGCGACAAGTGAGCGCTCGATTGTTGAGTTCGAATTGCAAGCGCCTTCAGCACTGTGTTTCCTCTTTACTTCTTTTTTTTTTTTATTTTGTTGGTTAAGCTGATGACCTTTTGGAGTTCGGGCTTCTTTTATCCTATGTTGACTAGAGAATTCTCAGCATGACAAGCGCTCGTGCACGAATAAACTTTTAAGCGACTTAAAAGGACACATTCCGGATGGCGCACGCAAGGTTTCGCGTTTTCGTTGCGCATGCGTCGTTCGCTCACCTCTTGCGCGCCCCCATGGAGGGACGAGCGCTAACGCTACGCCCGCAGCGCCCGCAAGCTTTGCTCACTCTATTCGAAAACTCCTTATCAACTGAGATTCGTGGGTCGTGTAAGCAAGAAAGGGAGTGCAGAACCTGCTGCCTATTCAGGTTAACCTAAGCTAGCTCTCCATATAATGGTCGCCACCTTTCCTTTTTTTTTCAGGGGTACGTTGCTTGGCACCGCAACGACTCTCGTGCATTCACATCTTCAACTTGAAAGAACTGTTTCTGTTTCTAGTGCTGGTATTTAATAAAGCGATATAAATTCATTTTCTTACTACGCGCCCAAGCACATTGCGAACAAGGAGATTTCATGACTCTTATTGTCACAGAGGAGCTGTGTGCATATGCCTGCAATTCATTGGAACGAATAGGCTTGAACGCAATCATTTACATAGAGCTAAAATGCCGTAACTATATCATGAAGGCAGAGTTACCACTGCTGCACACATTCGTAAAATGGAAATAAATAAAAGCGATTACTCATTTCGAGTTTGCGTTACCTGCCCAGAGTGTAGAATTTTTTTAATGTAAAGGGTCAGTCAACAGGCTCCGACTTTTTTTTTTTACAACGCCAAAAGAAGCTAGCGCATTTTTCCTATGCCTGACCAATTTCCTTCTACGCGTAGTGATGTGAACTCGGCGACTCGGCGACGTTGACTTCATTACTGTTTGTTGAGACCTGGTTTAGACCAATCAACGAGCTGCGTGCAGCGTCACGTCACCGATCGCTGTGTTGACGTCACTTCGCTTTGAAGGGGGTTGGTCACGCGTAGGAAAGACGCACGATCTTGTTTTGGGAATGTAAAAAAAGTCGGGAGCCTGTTGACTGACCCTTTAATTGCATCTTGCCACATATTTGAAGGCCTAATTTGTTGCGTATAGGCTATTTAAAAATACGTCATTATGACATCTGCGTTCTTGGCTCGAGTCAGCGCTTCAAGCTGGCGCATCTCGCGTGCATATTGTTGCATAGCGGGAGTGACACGACTTACACCATACATGATCTGGGTTGCGAAGTATCAGCACGTGCGCCTTGCATCACGTATGCGCAAAACTCGTCCAGCCGGCCTCCTAGATACCTGCTTTAATCGACTTAAGTGATCATTAGCATCATACAGTGCCATGTGATATGATCGAAAAGTGGTGCCATAAGTCTGATATTGAGCAAGGTATAGATTTTCGCGAACTGCGAATGTGACCTTGTGGTCAGTCTCCGTCACAACGCTCGCAGTTCCGATTTTCAGCCAGGACCACTTTTAAAGACATTTTTTTCTACGTTCGGCTCATATCATACCACGGGCTAACGTACAGGAATTCAGAGGAAGTGCGGAAGGGGGGGGGGCGATTTATCTTGATATGTTTGTGCATGTATTTTTATTTACGCTTGTACATACGTCAAAGTTATTCTCACGGTGGGCGGTCGTGGAAATGCCGCCCCCCATTGTGCTTTATCACTCACCGCTTTCGATCAACTTCTCGCCGCTCCACTTGACCCGTTTGAACAAGGGCGTAACCAGACATTCTTTGTCCGGGGGTTCAATCATACTTCATGTATGTTCAAGCGTGTGTTTGTATTTGCGCGCATATATGTATATACGCAAACAAAATTCATTTTCTCTTGGGGGAGTGGAGCTATGCCTTTGAAGTACACATCTGAAGAACCAATAAATAGCAACTGTGTGCACGCAAAGCTAAAGGTCCGTGCATGTCGCCACTTGGTTATGTCTGAACTTGTGTCGTGCTTGTGGTTTCAAAGATATCCGACTCCTGTACCAATGCTAGAACACTGGCTCCCTTGTTTCCGTCTTCTCTGCGCGTCGTATTGGCCAGACATGGTGCGCCAGAAGTAAAATGTGGATGTGTTTGAAACGGGATTTGGAAAACTTGAAATTATCAAACTTGATATCTCGACCACTGCCCCCCCCCCCCCTCCGTTTTCGAAATGTGCACCCCTAAAAAATTTCTAGGGAGAATCCTGATCCACAGAAGGGAAGCCCTTGCTAAAGGGCAGGTTGGGGAGTACCCCTACCTCCCCTGTGGCTACGCCAACGCATAGTACGTATAGCACGGCATGTTACCACCCTGTAGTACAGAACGCACAATAGTAGAGGAAGCTCAGTAGGGTTGAGAGCTGGGCTAGTTGGTAAGACATCATTTAACCATATGGTGTAGTAGCGCAAATTCACGGGGACGAAGAGGACAAGAAAACAGTAGCGAGTGTCGTGTTTTCTTGTCCTCTTCGTCCCCGTGAATTTGCGCTACTACACCATATGGTTAAATGAGTAGAGGAAGCATTGTAGTATAGAACACATTGCAGTATAGAGCGAATAGCATGGCATGTTACCGCATTGTAGTGAGTGGGTGCCTTGTCGCAGACATTTAAGCAGTTGTGAAAAGGGTACGCGTACCTCTCGCAGTTTATTCTCCGTCTATCCGGCGAGAGCTTTCGTGCTGTTCAACGTGACCGACGGCCATGGCTTCAACGTGACCTACGGACTGAACCGGTCTGCTGGAGAACAGGCCACCTACCAGCTCTGGGCTCTGCTCGCCACCTTGTTCATTGCCATCTCAGGAGGCGTTGCCACAGGTGATTTGTATACGCTTGCTTTTACGAACAGCGTTGGGGTGGATGCAGTATTAGAGCGTGTCGCTACAGATTTCATGTAAACCGAGATAGCTTGCTGGAAAACGCTTTTCGAGAAGCAAGATGGGGTACATTCACACGATACACACTTGCCCAAGGGGCCTTTTCTCGCGCTGTACGTGTCGTAACTAGGTGTAACCTAAGTGTATTCGGTGGCGTATTCGTATGTACGCCCGAGGAGCAGATATATACATGCAAAATGCGGTCTTACTTCCTCTTGCGACACAGAAGAGCCAGATCGCATGTAGCGTAGGGACATCAAACACGAAATATTGAACCGGAGTGATAAACGTTCGCTCAAACGTTCCATTTCTTATCAAGACATAATCGTGCCTATTATCTGGAAGTTTCCAAGTATACGTGCTATTCATGTGATGAGCGATGGACCTAGGAATATGTTTTCATCTCTCTCTCTATCTCGTGACATTTTTCTTTGTATCCCTATAGTTTTCCAGCGTCGTCGCTAAAACCCAGGACTTTATGCAGGCTCGTGCTTAAATGCACCCCTGGGTGTATATCTCCAAATTCAATCAGAACATTCTCAGTTGTTTCCTTGTCTTGTCTGATCTTCCCCACATCATATGCATTGTTGTTATTATTTTTTTTGCTAAATCTTGCTTTATAACTAGACAACCCATATCGATTCAAACTGTAAACTACTTTCAAGAGAGCTAAAGATAGCACCTCCTACCTATATAGCCCCACCGCGGTGGTCTAGTGGCTAAGGTACTCGGCTGCTGACCCACAGGTCGTGGGATGGAATCCCGGTTGCGGCGGCTGCATTTTCGTTGCAGGCGGAAATGTTGTAGGCTCATGTGCGCAGATTTAGGTGCAGGTTAAAGAACCCCAGGTGGTTCGAAATTTCCTGGAGCCCTACACTACGGCGTCTCTCATAATCATATGGTGGTTTGGGACGTTAAACCCCCATATCAATCAATGCTACCTATATGGTGAGTGATGCTCGTAATGTCAAAATGCTAGCTTACCGGGCTTGCTGTTACAACAACATAATACAAACTGTTGGAGGGGGGGGGGGGGAGACAAGTAGCACAAACACGGAACAGAGATTTAGGTCCGTATTCTTAAACCAACCTTGTCCTTAATGTAATATATGGGCAAAGAAAATAACAGGGTGAAAGATAATGCCTTTGTGAATATCCACCGTGATGGTTTAGTGATTCGGTGCTCGACTGCTATCCCGCAGGTCACGGGATCGAATCCCGGCCGACGTGGCCGCATGTTTCGATAAAGCTGAAAATGTCCGAGGCCCGTGTGCGTCATTTAAGTGCACGTTAAAGAACACTAGCTGGTCAAAATTTTGTAGTCTTCCACAACGGTGTCCCGCATAATCATGTGGTAGTGTTGGGATGTTACAGCCCAGCAATATACATGGTGTTCGAAGAAATGTGTCCAATCTTTTCTAAACATTACAGAAAGGAGGCATCTGCTTGCTACCTGCAGTGTTCCCTTTGCTGTAGAATAAGACATCTTCAGATGCGCACACACAATAATTACGAGTAAATGTAGAAATTAACACAATTAACTTTTTTAACCAGTGGAAATAAGTGGTCGAGTCAGATGGGCCAATTCAAGTACTTCAAGCGAATAGCATATAGCTACTTTAAAATTTATGAAAGCGGTCACTGGGAATCACCGCGGAGCGATGAAATCTGGCCAATTTAGCAGGCGATACCGAAACCTACGCACCGAAATGGCGCAATATACCTTTCACTTCGAAAACGCCCTCAGCGTCGACACTGTTCTCCTCGAATTGGGGGAGGAGGATAAGCGAGCGTCGGCCACGAAGTGTAGTGTCTAGACTGACGGTTCATAACGGCGAAGGCAGACTCAGATCGAGCCATGACTCTGAAAGAGTCCAGGTGAGTAATGGTTTGGTGAGTTTGTGTCCGAAAGAGTCCAGTTAAAAAGCGAAGTTTCGTGAGCGTGCACGATTGAGTCCCGCTCAGGAAAGCAACTGAACCGCAGGATCGTACAATATGTGGTTAGGGATCCGCAGGTCGCGGTATTGAATCCCGGCTGCGGCGGTTGCATATTCGATGAAGGGGAACATGTTGTAGGCCCATGTGCTCATATTTGGATGCACGTTAAAGAACCCCAGGTGGTCGAAATTTCCGGAGCCCTCCACTGCGGCGTCTCTCACAACGGAAAAGGTGCTTTCGGGACGTTAAACCATACATAACGATCATATGTGGTTAGAGATACGCCGCCTCCGTCGGCGCGCACATAAAGGCTTCATATACGTTGTGTGTTTGTAGCGTAACTTGCGCCAATCTCAAGAACGAACAGGGGCGAAGCGTGGCCACCACGATTAGCTCTAACTGCGGAGGCCAAACGCGAGGAATTCAAACGCTTAGAGACATATTAAGCGTTTCATAAGAAAACCCGGTGTTCAATTTATAGCGTGGCGTTCGCAGTGTGATTAGGAAAAAAGTGTTAACGATTTGGAGTACTTGGTACTCCAGGAGAGCTGAAAGCCGTCCCCTGAACGAATTACGAAGCTTCCAAGTGGGTGTTTAGATAAAGTTGTTAACGATTTAGAGTACGCGATGTTCAGAAAAAAAATGTTTAATGATTTCGAGTACTTCGTACTCAACTATGGGAGAGCACTGAGCCGTCCCGCTGAAAACTGAAACGTAAAACCGAAGAGCTGTGTTTAGAAAAAGTGGGTAACGATTTAGAGTACTAGGTATTCTACTATGGGAGAGCTTAAAGCCATCCCGTGATGCCGTTGAATACAAGCGGTTACGGTAAAGGAACACGAAATGAAGGACTGGCGCGGACGTCTCAGCCACGAGGCTCTTTGAGACTTAAATGAAGTTAAATTTATACCTTGCTCTAGCTATCATATCGCGAAACTCTAGTTCTTTTCACTTATAGATATCAGTGTACAAATGGTGTCCGTTCGCACCGTTAAACTTCCTGGGTGGCGTATGTTCTTTAATTTATTTAATCATGAAGCATAATTGACACCTATTCTATTTACTTCACACGAACGAACATTCATCGCCAAACTTTGCATTTCAATGTTATGGAGAGTCGATGTCAAAACAAACAGTCAAACTTGCGTAGCGCGCCCAGATCGACCCAACCGAACACTAGCAGTCATGCAATGTGCGCTGAACACAAATACTCACGTAAAATGCTTCGTTTTCTGCTTTCACATGCTCACGTTTAGCATTCGGTTCGGCTTTAGCCCCACTCACATAGCGTTGAGCCGGACAGTGCGATTCGTCAGCTTTCGTATTTGCACGTAACTCTGCCTGTTCGATCGAGTATAGTTATGTAAGCGTGTCCTACGTCTTTCTTATTATGACAATTACGTTCTTCTGCGCAGTTCTCGCCAGGTATACTTCGGGGTACGGCTGAAATATTATGTCCAACATATTAACTTAACTGCAAAGGACCAACACTCGAATGGTACTGCTTATAATGTTACAAGGTTGTTACAAGCTGCCACTCTAGCGTCGCCAGCGCGAAGTCGGCGACGGGAATGACAGCAGGTTAGTTCGTTCCGTACGCAAGCAGAGACAGTGAAGAGATCCGAGACGTGAGAAAACAAAACAAACTTTACTCTAGTGATATTGCAGCACACTGGATCTACTACAACACTTCAATACAACTAACAAAATACATCAACACTTGATACAACAAAAATACATATAAAAAACAATAAATCAGCTTACGAGAGAGAACTATTACAATCTACACAAACTAACAACAATAGAACTACGGAGGAGAACGTTCGAAGATATAAACAGGCGAAGGCATACGTGTGATGACCGGCAGCGTTGCGTCCCCGACGATCGGATGCGAGAAGTCGAAGAGAGTTCTGCCACGACTGCGATGTCGGCGCTGTTGCAACGCTGGTGGCTCCGGGAGGCAAGTGCTTGCAGGTGACCTCGGGCAGGTTGAGCTAACTCGAGGCGAAGTACCGATGTCTACGTTGCCGACGTTAATATCGCGTCACAACTAGACGAACGGCTAAGTTTAGGTGGCCAGCCGATACAGAGCCGCACTAAAAACTTCTAGAAGAGATACTTGTTGATCTGTTTCTAAACCATGTTGGTGAGCGACTCACCTGCCTAGCTGTCACAGAACGAGCGCTAAACAAGAGCGCGCCGCCAAATACTTGCGACAACGGGCGGCAGAAACGCCGCGAGGTAAAAAGGAAAAAAAAAAAAGAAAGCAAACATCCAGGGCTCCCGGGCGCGCGCTCTCCCCGCAGAAGCACGGCTTCGCAGACGATCCTCCTCACCCCACATCGGCGGCCCAGCAAGACCGCGATTTTTCTCGAACGAACGGGGCGGGGTCAGACCGAGCTGAGTCATCCGACGCGGAGGGCAGACAAACCGTCTCGCCTCTCCCCAGCCTTCGCTGCGTATCGCGCCGACGAAATGACGAGAAAGATCTGGAAAGTCGTGCGCAAGGTATTTAACCGAGCAGCCGAGACGAGAAATCAGGAGGTGACGGAAGTTAACGCCAGAGCGCGTAGGGATTCCGCCGTGGAGTCGGCGAAGGTTCTGCCCGTAGTGACAGAACAGGAGGAGACGGAAGTGAGCGCCAGAGTGCGTAGAGAGTCCGCCGTGTAGTCGGCGAAGTTTGTGGTCCGTAGGGACGGCTCGAGCTACAAGCAAGAGTGTGTGTTTACCGCTATCGAGCGAAGACCCGTGGCAACCGCTGCGAGTGTGAAGCCGTCGTGTTCCGGCGAAGAAGTTGAAGTTGGAAGAGTGGCCAATTGAAGACGGGAGGTTTCCTGGGAGAGAACTTCGAGAGCTGCGGAACGACAACAACGCTGGACTTTGAGTGAGTGATTCTCGGAAGAGTATCATTCAGACTTTTGTTCCAAGGACTTTGGACTGAATAGGTTTTATATCTCTTTAGTCTTTAAGTGTCTTGGTTGTTCAATGCATGCGACTGCATTG